TTCTTACTTTTCCACTTTCGCTTTTAGCCCTTCAAAGTGTACAAATGTATATGCCAGTTGCATGAGCAATTTTTTTGATTATATGCTGCTGACTCTCTCCTCCCCAAATGTTTATTTGTGAATTAAATACCTGCATAATTGTACCAGTTTATTGTGAACATAATAAAATTACACAGAGAAATAGAGTTTTTGAAATGATAATAATGTTTATTTATCTCTCCTCACTGAATTATTACATGCGTCCCTTGGAGTATAGGCACCCTATACTGGATTCTCCAATTTAGATGAACCATCCTCAATCTTTCCAGGATTGTGTAGACTTTAAGAGTCAAATTAACATTATTCACTCTCAACAAGATGCACACATTTTCTCATGACGGCAGGTAACTCACAGTTCAGAGACTCCCTTGGAACTCAGATGCTAACACTGCCTTAGATGTTCAGCATTATTGGAATTATAGTCATTGCCACCTTCAGAATCTCCCAGTACTAAAGTGAGAAATGGTGGAGCCATTTGACAAGATATAAAGATTATAGTCAAATTAACCATGGTTGATTATCCTTTAGATAATCTCTTCAACAATAGCATAGTTCAACAAAGGCTTTTGAATCATTCTCTCATCTTCCCTCCTTTCCTGCCTCCCTCTCCTCTTTTTCCTGTCCTATTGTCCACCTCTCTCTCTTTCTCCTCCTTCTTCTCCCCTCTTTTTCACTCCCCCTCCTTCTTCCTCACTTTTCTTCCCTTTCTTCTCACTTGATTTCCCCTCTCTCCACTCTTAAAAATCAACAAATTCGATTTTCTTGAGCAAGCCTGCTCCACCTACTGGTTCTTTCAAGAATTGCATATTTAAGCACAGTTTGATAAATTGATGGAAATAATTACCTAAATTTCAGTATGAGAACTAATTTATAGACTAGGATCATTTTTTAAAATATAGATTTAACTGCTAATTTGTCAAAAATTAAGATAGAGCATATATTATTTTAACATCTATTTGGAAATAGCCGTTGTAATATTTTAACCCTTGTTACAATTACCCAACTTGTTCCTTTCAATTTCTTTCTTCCCTGTTACACTTGTTTCGATTGTTTCTTCATAAGTCTTCTTCCCTGGCGCCTAACTCCATGCTTGTTTCTCTGCCCCCAGGTCAGTCTGTTACCTGCTTTTCTTATTAACTGCATGCATTTCCTTGGGTGATTTACTTTCCACTTCTTCAATGATCACTTTCACACAAATAATTGCTAAATGTATGTTTCTAAATTGAACTTCTCTGAGCTCTAGGTTCAGATCTCTAAATACTGGTATAGATAGCCTGCAGGAATTGCAAGCTCATCAGAACTGCTCTTCTCATTTTATTGCTAATGACACATAAACTGTTCCAATTATCTATTGTTATTTAACAAGCCAGCCCAAATCTAGTGAGATAAAACAGCAACCATTTTATCATGATCACAGATTCTGAGTCAGGAATTCTGATAGGGCACAACAGAGTTGGCTTGTCTTTGCTGCACACACTAGGAGCTCAGCTGAAGACTGTCATTTGCAGTTAAAAGGGTGATATCGTATCTCCTACACATTACTAAAATAAGGGGAGCAAGGGGGGCATAATACATTTTTTTTTTTTAAGTTGGAGTCCCACTCTGTTGCCCAGGCTAGAATGCAGTGGCACGCTCATGGCCACCCCAGCGTTGATCTACTGGGCTCAGACAATCCTTCCGCCTCAGCATTCCAAGAAGCTGGAACTACAGGCGCACGCTACCCGGCTAATTATTTATTTATTTATTTAGTGTAGAGATGAGGTCCCGCCAAGAAGTTGCCCAGGCTGTTCTCAAACCCGTGGGCTCAGGCCATCCCCCCACCTCAGCCCATAATACATTTTCAAGTACACATTAAATAAAAACATTCAGCTGCTGTTCATCTGTGTTGATACAGATATTAATTAAAATGATCTTTGAGCATATCTACTGAGCTAGTTACTTTTAATAAACTACACCTTGAACCAGAACAACTTGTTGAATTTGTATATTATAGTCATGGTTAAAAGGAGGTCGAGGAGCAGGCGTGGAAGTTTCTAAAAGCTTATCTGCCTCACTAAGTTGGAAAACGGAAGCAACCTTGACCAAACCCGAGCACAAATAAATCACTATGAAAACTTTTATTTATGAATGCATTGCTCATCTTCTATAAAATAAGAGGCATTCAACCAGCACAGGTTTATTTGTGCACTTTAATTTGATACCTCCCAACCATTTTATAAGAAAACATATTCATGACAGAGTCAGTGTTGCACCTCTAAATGACTACAAACTCTATTTTCCTAAGTGGCTGTATTTGTGTCAACTCATTGAAACCAGGACGAGTTTGACTCTGACAAGTTTTATGTTCAAACATGTTTCGAAATGTGAAAGGGAATTAACAGGTGAATTAATCTTTCAAATATTGAATGAGTGAGTTTAACTGCTTGCTATGCCAGGAGTTAAATATGGTAGTGTCTATCCGGTATAAACTACCTGTAGAAACAGGTCTGTGAGGTTTTGTGTTGGACAACCCATGATCTGGCTTCAGGTAAAAATACAAAAGGATTTATTTAGTCAAACCATCTACAAATGTCTAAGTCACTAACTTAAATGTGCTAATTTAGGTTTATTATGAAATTAAATTTTTACATATGTTTCTTTGGGAAGAAGGGTTACATTTTAAAATGTGGAATTTCAAGTATATAACTAGTACTTGTGGCAGAGATAATACAATACACCCTTGAAAACAATTTCTAAACAGGCTTTTAGAGATGTATACTGGGATTTCTGTCTTCACAGACTAGGAATGAATTATACAGGCAGCTAAGCAATACTACACTTAAAACCACAATATATTGCGAAACAGCATTGGAAAACAAAGGTTAACAGGTCATTCATCAGGTAATGGGTATCATAAAGAAAGGCCTACCTTCAATATTTTGTAAAGTGGGGTGTACACTGAATTGCTGCAAATACAGTGTCAAAAGCAATATTAAAAGTAAAGTGCTAAAGGAGTAGGCAATTGATTCAAGGAAGGTTTTTGGAGACTTGAACCAGGCATGGAAGGATGAAGTATTAGGGGTCTGAGGAGTATTAGGGGTTTCAAGCAGAGATAGCTGCAGCCTGAACAAAGGCCAGAGGAGAGAGAATTCAGGGGCAGTTCAGGAAAACGGTGAGTGGTGGGTATATAGTATGAGGTTGAAATGCATGGAGAAAATGTGGAAGAAGATAAGGCCGAAAAGAGTAGGGGTCAAGTGGACTGCTTTGACCATCAGACTGACTTTAGAATCTCTTCTGAAGAAGGGTGCTTTGACTATTTCAGCAGGGTTGTGATAACGTGATTTAGGGAAATAATTCCAAAGGGAGGAATGGACCAAGACAGGGAGGGTAATGCAAAAGCTCAGGTAAGAGAGAATGTGAGACCAAAGTAGGGTGGACGGAGGAAGGAAACGTAGACACACTCAACAGGAATTGATTGGGGTGATGGGGAGGCAAACAGTCCAATCTATTTCGTGGTTTTGAGTGTGAAAGGTTTTGAAGATGACCACAGATTCCTTGACACTCCTCCTATTGGTCTCCCAGTAGAATCAGAATAGACAAAATAAGAATTTGAAAGAGATATTTACTTAATAAAAGTAGAATTATCTGTTTTCCAATAGTTAGGCAGTTGTTATTTAGTTCAGCCCTTAATAGCCTTAAATACAACTAAATAGGCTAGCCTATGTAACCACTTAAAAAAAAGTTCATTTGAACATTTGTTCCTAGATGACTCTAGCATGTTTTATCCCCAATGTTTTACTGAAGTATTATTTACATATACAATAAAATTGCATGATTTTAAGTGTCAAGTACAATGAGTTTTGATAAATGTGTATAGTCTAACAATTACCACTACAATCAAGATATGGAACATTTCCATCACTTCAGAATATTTTTTTGTTTCCTTTCACAATCAATTCTGCATCCGCAACCCCTGGCAACCATTGATCTGCTGTCATTACAGTTCTGATTTTTCTAGGTTTTTGTATAAGCCTTCTTTCACTTGGCATTATGCTTTTGGTGTTCACCCATGCTATTGAATCTAACAATAGTTAGTTTTCAGCTACTGGATAAAGCTGCTACAAAAACTGAATACAAAATATATTTCTCTTGAGTAAAAGACCTAGGAATGAGGAACTATGGTGTTAGTCCGGTTGACCCTTGAACATGGGATTGAACTGTGAGGGTCCTCTTACACCCGGATTTTCTTCCATCTCTGCCATTCCTGAGATACAAGACCGATCCCTCTGCTTCTCTTCCCCTCAGCCTACCCACAGTGAAGAGTGAGGAAGAACTTCATGATGATCCCCTTCCACTTAATGGATAGTAAATACATTTTATCTTTCTTACGATTTCCCTAATAGCATTTTCTTTTCTCTAGCTTACTCTATTGTGGGAATACAGTATATAATACATATCACATTGAAAATATGTATGAGCCAGGCTCGGTGGCTCAGCCTGTAATCCCACGCCTTTGGGAGGCTGAGGTGAGTGGATGGCCTTAGCCCGCGGGTTCGAGACCCGCCTGGGCAGGCGAGACCTCATCTCTACAATAAAATCAAAAAATTAGCCGGGCGTGGTAGCGCATGCCTGTAATTCCGGCTACTCGGAAGGCTGAGGCGGAAGGATCACCTGAGCCCAGCAGGTCGAGGTTGCGGTGGCCGGGAGCGGCCACTGCACTCCAGTCTGGGCGACAGAGTGAGACTCCAACTCAAAAAAAAAAAAAAAAAAAAAAAAAGAAAATATGTATGAATTGATGGTTTATGTTTTTGGTAATTAAGTTCTAGGAGAGTCAAGAGTCACACAAGGATATGAGACCGTGCAGGGGAGGTGGTGACCCTAACCTCCAAGATGTTCAAGGGTCACCACAGTTGTGTACTAAGAAATAATTACGTTTTCCTGTATCAATTCGCCTGACAATGAAAAATACAAATATTGCTTAGTCTTATTTCATAATAAATAAAATTTATTAGCATATCTGTTATAAGACCACTGAAGAATTCATACATTTTCCAGCCCTAAAGAGTCACATACATCCAACATATTCCAGGATAATGCTTTAATAATGTGTGAGATTTTACTCCTTACAAACTTCAACGTATTATGAATCAAATAGGATACATTCATATTATTATATGAACAAGGAGGCATACATTAAGAATCTTGTGATTTTCTCTCAAGAATAAAGAGTTGCAAAATCTCTAATATGAAAAATACAATCTCAATTGTCCATTTTACCAAGAAATATATGTATAAATGTTTACATGCATCTCACAGTATTTACATCTGCTTTAATTAAAGAGGGAAGTTATTTCTCATTTCATTTTCCAAATGAGAAACATTTTTTAAATTTATGACATCCCTAGGAGTGTTCTTAGTATACACTTCCATGTAAAAATGTCTGGAATAGAAAATTTTAAATATCAGAATCCAGGGATATAAGCTTTCACATTCAGAAGTACAAAGAATCTCAACATTAGCAAATGATGATTCTACAAAAATCAAAATTGTAACTTAGACATTGCTAATTTAAATAACATTAATGCAAATTTAGAGTTTAAAAACTACATCCACGCTATTGTATGTAATCACTGAATTGTAACACACGTAGAGATTAAAAACATTTTAAGTGCTAAATACCTATCATAAAAAAGAAGATATGCTTTACAATATTATGTTTTCTAGCAAAAGGTATGCAAAGATTATACCGCCAAAGAGACTTCAGCAATGACAAAATAAAACTTTTACCTTCAATTTGTGTAAATTACTAAGAAGTCTCAACTTCACTGAATTGATGAAAATAAAATGTATCACATTAAAGAGTTATTTATGGCAGAAACTAAAACTTTAAAAAACACACATGACAAAAATAAGATATGGAGTTTCCTGATACATATAATTCAATTTATATTCCCTTATTTTAATACTTGGAAACTCAATGACATGTCTTGTAAACTAGACATATAAAATGATTCTGAAAGTACAAACGAGTTTGAATCAGTTGACTCTGACCATCCATCATCTCACCACTCACTCCTGACAGCATCCGAAGCATCCTACCATTTGCCACAGAAGCGGGGGTGCAGAGTGGCAAAGGTCAGATCACTAAGGCACAGGTAACTAACTGCCACACGGTGGCAATGGTGCTGGCCAGTGGAATGGGGCATTGGAGGGCACACATTTTGTGTCCTGCACACCCTGCTCAGCCATGCTGCCTGCATCAGTGCACCCAGTCCCTTGGATGGCGCAGAACTTCCAGAATTTCAGCTTCTTTGGAATTCTCTGAAGGTGAATGCATGTACTCCCATCTATGCATGTCCAACACAGAAGCAAGAAATGTAATAAATGATACACACTCTTTACTTAAAAAAAAAATCCAAAGGGTAAAAAAATTATCTCATACCTCTATCCTCCCTGTGCCTAAGGTGCCGTGCATCTACTAGATATTTTTAAAATATTTACTGCTAAAGAAATAAAGATTCTTAATTCTTGGGTATACTTTGGTTAATATTAATATCCCAGAGCCAAAATACACTTTAAATATAAACCAAGATTTCATAAAGTGTAGACCTCAGATGATCCATGGGCAAACTTTCTTTAGCTTAATACTTACGCATAGTTCTTCCCAGAAAAACAAACAGGCAGGGAAGGTCAATCTCATCCCCCAGCCACTATAACCCAGCCTGTCTTCTCTCTCCCTCTATTCTCTCCTTGGCCTCACACAGAGCTGCATCATTCAACCTGTTACCCCTTAAAATATCCAATTTGATTTGCTTTAACTATTTGACTGTGATTTTCTTATAAAATTAGCTAATTCAAAACCAATGAAGACTTAGGTAAGACATCTATGGTGTTAACTTTCATATTTTGTGGGTGTTAGGTACTGGGGGTGGGAAGCATAATTACTATGATGAGTTATCTATTTACCGGGCAGTTAGAGGTAAAGACATCAAGATGCTTTCGATCCTGGATCCTGGAGTGAAGAGGCCAAACTTTGTGCCACGATCATACAGCAGATTAAATTCTACATACCTGACATAAAGATATCAAATAACATTAAGCACTAGCTGAGTAAAATCTTAAGACTACCCTTAGCAAATACTTAAGGAGGGGCTTCCTCCCCTACTCTCCATCAGCAGGAACTGGCACAGAAAACACCAGCTTACAGTTCATTGAGCTCTTTCCATCTGGACAATCAGAAATAAAAGGGTATTCTACCCACCAAACAATAGGACAGCGATTCTCCCCCAACACAGAGCAGTTACTGAACTGCTAGGTTATGTTTTCCCATAAAAAACAGAATGGACTCAAAGCCGGGAACTTTAAAGCACAACAATTTTAAAAAGAAATAGTATCCTTTCTCAGGATAACCAAGCTCCTTTTGGCCCTCCCCATAGTAGAGATGTTTCAGAGTCAAAGATTTCACTTCACTGCCTATAACTCACAATTACTAATACAGTGTAAAACTTCTGTAGCCCACGTACAACTAACAGTCATCTATTAACAATGACTAAGATATTCTAGATATTCTTCCTTAAAGTAGTTAACATTAATAAGAATAGAATTCAGTCTTCTTGCAGATTAATTGCAATCACAAGAAAAGGTAGTGTTTTGGGTTTCAGAGCTGTTGGGGTTTTTTTGTTTGTTTTTAGAAAATTATTCTTAGCATTAAAATGGGTCAATATATTAGTTTTCCATTAATTGCAGATACAGATTTTTAAGCTGGACCTCATACAGCTTAAAAATCTGTACCTGACTTTAATATCATGGGATGTAAAAAGGTTTCTTCTCCTCAATTTCAAAAAGATAATTCCTAAATAATTCCAAAAGAACTTTCAGCGACCATACATCTGAAAATGTCAATAAACAGTAACCCTTTCAGATTATTTCTCATTCAGAAGTCATTTCCTTGGTCTACACTTCACTTAGCCTCATTTATCCCTTGGTTACTGTCTTGAAGCCCACTTACAGAAAACTATTCTCTAGAATCCCATAATACATCAAATTTAAGAAGTATCTTTTTATGTGGAAATTTGTCAAAGGCCCTGCAAAAATTTAAATGATTTTATCCATGGAGCTCTTTCTAGTTCTCACCATTTACTTATCATTGATTGACTTTTATGTACAAATAACAACTTAACACCTTCTATGCCTGTTTCAAAAGATAATTTAGGTGACTCTTCTGAACTCTTAAGATTACAGAAAAGGATCTTATCTTTCAACTGCTACTGCCTTTCTGAAACATGATCTCTAAGGGATGGCTATGATGTTTTCTAGTCCGCATGGAGGTATTCAAAGACCTAACTGAAAGTGCCTTATAAGGAGCTCCCTAGATGGATTCAGTAGGATCCTTGTGTTCCTTTCCTCTTCTGAGTGAATGATGCCCCTTGCACAACATTAGCCTGCCTCCCACCAAGTTTCACTTGGATCTGATCTTTCTGATCCTTGCCACACACTTATCCTCTCTGAGGTGCATGTAAATGATAGACTTAACCGATACCTTCAATTTAATCAATGCCTGAATTTTATCCTGCTTCTCTTTCAAAATATAACAAGTGAAATCTTTAATTTCTGTTCTCCTGTGAAACAGATGACTATAAGACTGAAGTTCAAGGTCTGTGGAGAGAACAGTAGTAACAGAGGGCAAGAGACTGAATGAGACTGCAAGGTTGAAAGGGAACCAGACTGACCACTGAAAAAGAAACTCAAGTCTGGGAGCAAGGAAAGCAGAGAAGAGTAACTATGAAAGGTACAGATAACCAGCTGCTAATACAGCGTAAGAAACTCAAGACAGTGCTGATAAGTCCAGGGAAGACATGGGGCCATCCTAAGCCCCAGAATTTACTGCCATCTTAAGGGCCACAGATAAGGGAGGCAGAAGGAGGCTCTGTAGGGAGAACAGTAACACGCCACACCAGAGAAAATTAATCTAACACCCACACTTTTGCCTAATGCACAACACCTGACAAGCAGTGATACACATGGCACTCTCAGAATAACTTATCATCTAACAATATTAAAAAAAGACCCAGAAAAAACACCATTACTTCTATGTCTGAGAAGTTTGAAAGCTTCACCTAATTCATATTCACAAAATCTGCCAGCGTTGCATGAGTCTTGTGCAAAACTAGAACCAGAAAGTATTCCAAAAAACTTTTAGCTATCCTCTTTGGTATGTCTTCCCCCCTAAACTCTGAGCCTCTTTTTGGCAGGTCCATGCTTTTCCACCTTAGTCGACATGATAGTACCTGATCATAGGGGGCCCACAATAAATGTGAAGGAAAACAAGAGTGGTAAAGGTGTGTGTGAGAAATGATTATTCCCATAAACAAACAAACGAACAAACAAACAAAAACATGTCTCAGAACAAATGCATTATTTAAGACATTTCTAAAAAAGAAAAAACTCTCATTTTTCCAAGTGAATAAATAGGGACCAGATAGGCAGTCCATAAAAAAGGATAGATACAAATATTTGTGTTTGGACTTGGAACATTATTTAAGTTGAACTCTTTGGGGCAAAAACTATTCCTCCTTCATACCCAAAGCTTCAATTACCTGAAACAGAGTTAACATAAATGAGAAAACCCACTACTGAGCCAAGCCCCGGTAGAATACAGCAATTAAGATGGCAATGAGAAACTGGCTGAAGATGACTCAGACTGGCCACCCAATTGAACTCACCAAGCTCCATGCCCAGAGCAGGGTAGCTGAGGTATGGATCATGGCAGGAAGCTCAAACCTGCTTCAACTACCTAACTTCCTTTGTACACTAGAAAGACTGCAAGTTTTGAAGTCACAATGACCTGATTACACATCTGGAGTCTTCTATTTAACTTGAGCAAGGGACTTGACTTGCTGAGAGTAAGTTGTATCATCTATAACACAATGATTACACCTATCTTATAGGTTTGAGAAAAATTACATGCAAAATGCCTAACACAGTGGCTGGCACACAGTAAGGGCTCCCAAACTGGTAAAATGTATCATTAAATGTAATTTCTGGAATTGTTATTTCCATTAAAAAACTTCCATGAAATCTTTATGATGAATAAAGACGGGTGTAATTCCAAATTTACAAAGCAGCAAAAACCTTAAATGATGCCCACATTCTGACATAAGGATGGAGGGTACTGCTGTAAGACGAACTAAAAAGATATTAGCAGAGTTAAACTCGGCTAGTACTTACTACATATCTACTTTGAGTCTCCAATGTACAGATGCATTAAACAAACCTTGCTACTTGGTAATACTATTTTACCCAATGTCTTTTAATTCATGTAACATTCGCCTGCTTATGAAAAGAAATTAACATAACTATTACAAAGTATCTGCCCAGGACAACATACCACCCATGATTATTTTAGTTGCTCCACATTCTCAAGTTACGTCACAAGAAGTTCATTCTTTATGCACTCACCGTCCTCTTCGGAGCTGCTGCCACAGCTTTTCCTGGGGGGTGAATGAATCATCACAGTGCTTTTTCACAAGGGGAATGTAAGAAGGGACTACAGCCTGGGCACAACTCTGCACAAAGTGAAACACCTCTTCCTTGGACGGAGAGTCAAGATCATCAAAAAAGATACCGCCAATGCCTCTCCGTTCTCCACGATGGACTATGAAGAAGTAATCATCACACCTGGAAAACACAGCAGGGCCAAATCAGGCATCAGAGCAGTAAAAAAGAAAGAGATGAAAATCAGTGTGAGCCTTTCCGGTCACAGCACTATCCTCAACTAACACCAGCATAGTGTCCTTACTTGCTGTCCAACTATGAAAATAAAATGGAGAACTTTAGACAGATTTTCTGCAGATATCATCGGTGTAGAAAATGCTTATCCTGTTATCGGCAAAGCAACCAGGCAATTAACACAGGTCTATCTAAAGGATGTGGAACTCTAAGACCCCAAGTAAAAAGATAGAGTCTAATATTGTATTCCTTGAGAGAGTGATGCCACAGCACTCAGAAGCATTGCTACTTTTTCAGGAGGCAAGAGGACAGGAATCTTCAGCTAACAGTGACACAAACCAGGATGGAAACTTTTGCTCTCTTGAGTAAGTTTTTAATTCACCAAGGGAAGGTGCTGTAAACAATCTCTAAGATCTCTTTCCACAGTAAAAATGACTCCATAACAAACCATGGAGGAAAGGGCTGGTGGAAGAAAACATTCAGAAAATAAGTCTTCAAACATATGAAAGCTTGCCCTTGTGAGCCAGCACATGAAACTATCAATCTTCTTGAGTCTGGCCCCCCTATGTCAACTAGAACAGGTTTCCTAGGAAATCATTTCTTAAATACTAAAATTATAAATGCTTATATCTTAGAAGTTCTTTTGATGATCTCTGTATAAGAGTCCCTAAATTAAAAAAAAAAAAAACCGGTTCAAATGAAAACTAAAAGTTATTTAAAAGGTTGTCTTAAATACAGCCTTAATAGTTTAAACTCAAGGAAAATAAAAAGGCAGCAGATGCAAATCCCTAAAACCGATGCATTGGTATAATTCACTCGAATATGACTTGCTGGCTTTCTTTATATGAACATTTTATTGACATTTTAAAAAGTATAACCTGAGCAAGACTGTGTAGTCAGTTTGGGAACCCAAATCATATTATTTCAAGATCTCACTTCAAAAAACGATAAAATTAAAAGATTTACTAAACACTTATCGTCTTAGTTCACTTTCTGTTGCTTGTAACAGAATACCTGAAACTGGGTAATACACGAAGAAAAGGACTTTAGTTCTTACAGTTATGGAGACTGAGAAGTCCAAGGTTGAGGGGCTACATCTCATGAGGGCATTCTTGCTGGTAGGATGCCACAGAGTTCTTAGGTGACACAGGGCATCACATGGTGTGCCGGCTGAGCAAGCTGGCTGAGGTCTCTCTTCCTCTTCTTAGAGAGCCACTAGTCCCACTCCCGTGATAAGTCATTAATCCATGATGGAGTAATCCATCCACCAGGGCTCTGCCCAATCACCTCTTCAAGGCTCTCCCAATACTGCCACATTTCAATATGAGTTTTGGAGGGGACAGATATTCAAAACAAATCACTTATGCTAAAAGCTTATTTTTAAGTAGCTGGCACCCTAGATATTTTATTAACTAATGCTGTTTAAAGTCATCTTAGTTATAGATATAAGAAGAAACCAAAAAAGAGAATTGTCTACCATATCAGTCCTCCTAGAAGGATGTTGACTTGTGGCAGAGAGGAAAAAAAAAAACTTGTATGTGCATGTATCCATTGGTAATATTAAACCAAGGGGAGAATATTCAAATGTTTCATCTTTTCTGGGGATTTTAAGCTGAACATCATGCTCTTGCATAAATGATGTTAATATTCCAGTTATTAGCCCTAAAAAGAAAGCAAAATGATAAAACCCGTTCTTCCTTTTTCAACAATGTCAATTATCTCTAAGCAGAATTACTTTACTCTTACTCCAAACAATTTATGCCAAGACTCCATTTGATATCTAACAAATATAAGGGGTTTCCTCTCAACTTTTTCTTTTCTTTGTCATTAGAGTATCTCTACCAAAGTCTCCAATTCCACTTTTCTTCTAGGTCAAAATCTCTGATACACTGGCATCTCTCCCTAGTGGTTCTCTGACCCTTCTTATGCCCTCACACATTCCTCAGTTAACATTAGGAAAGTAGTTCTCATCTGGAATGAGAATTTACCATCCTACCCTAGGATGAAAAGACCTCTGATTCTCAGGCATACATAACCTTACAGTTTACAGTCTACCATTCTAAATCATTTGGGATTAAAACAACAACAACAACAAAACTACTACTACTCAATATACAGTACAGACATGTAAGTAGTTCTAAGTGAATAATTTCTTAAAACCACTTAAAACTGGTATCCCACTTTTTCTGGTGAGTAAGAAAACAGCTTAATCTTCATAAGCTGAAGAAGGTGGTGAGTGACATAATGGTTGGCTTTGGGACCCATAAGAGGAATGGAATATAATTTTGGAGTCATGCAAAGTTCAGTATCTTTACCTACCATTTTTTAAATTTGGGGTAGAGCTCTGGACTGTGCTGGTCACAAGCCTCCTTCAGAGTTCTGTGAAAATGGACAGCGTCCTCTTGGTTCAAGTACGTTGGAGTGAGGTCACACCCACCACCAAACCACCACTGCTTGTGACCTACCAAATCAAGACATGGACTTTGAGAGTCAACAAACTGCTGATTGTATTAGCACACTTACTTCAGCAGCTTAATTTATTAAGAATGAAATAGATGACAATTGAAAAACATTTAACTGAATTTAGCTTTGAAGTCCAGGAAGGCCTAGGCAGAAAAGAAGAGTTTTGTAAAAGCAGAGAGAAAAGAAAGTAGGAAACTAAAAAGTAAGAGTAGAACCTGGTAGGGAAATGATACGCAAGGTAGTGAATGATAAAACAGCACACCAGTGGATCAGGAAGTGAAGCTCAACTCCAGCTGTATATTAGAATCATGTGAGGAACTTAAAATATCTCTGCTATATAACAGTTTTAAAAAATACATCTCTGGTCCAGGCATTATAGTTTACAAAAACTCCCCAGGAGATTCTGATGCTCCCTGTATTAAGAACCACTGCCAGCCCTCCCCTATGTCCCAGAAAGGGCAAAGAAAACTTGCAGAGAAAGGCAATTTACCCTTTGAGAATAAGTGTTTCAAGCGCTTATTCAGATCCATGGGTCCGGTTACCAACTTTGAAATGTTAGAAGGTTGAACCAAACTGAATGGTTTCCAAGTGAAAAGTTAAAGTAATAACGTTAAGTGTCATCACCCACAGAGACCCCGGTAGCAGTAGGTGTGGCACTGCACAGGTTCTCAACAAGAGCTACCAGATGGCCCTGCTGATGAGAGGCCGGAACTACCTGCATGTGTGGCATGATCAACTCACCCCATGTTGAACTCACTGCGAATGCACCAGTGACTAGCAAAGCTAGGCATGTGTAAACTATTTTCCAAAATTAAGTTCTCAATTTCATCTTAACCTCATACATAAGGTCTCCCTTCAGATATAATGTATTCATATTTACAAAGGACCCTGTGTACATCATGAAGCTCAGGTTTGGTAAATCATGTCTTCTGTGTTGGAGGAAATACGGGAAGGTAAGAGTTAGTCAATACCTTTCCCACTTTTCATATCTAGTGTATAATCCGTTGCACCTGCCAAGGAATAAGACTTCACATGCCTCCTGAAAATGTAGTTAAGACTAATTATTCTCTCACTTTTAGGGGTTATGCCCTCTTATCTGCTTCAAAGTAGACATTTTGCACAGAAGTACTTTCTACAGCTCCTGAGACCCTTACCATCGGCTTCCTCTACTTCAAAGTATCTGTAGTTGAAATGGATCGTAGGAGCATGCGGATTCTTGGGGTGGATAACAGAGCTCACGCCCATAGCAGTAAATGACAATTTTCCTGGAAGGTAAAATAGTGAGCTGTAGTCAATCATCTGGTATGATACACATCAACTCTAAGATAATTGCTAAATCAATTTTCAAAGCTGATTTTTGTCTCTTAAAAACATAATTTTAAAAAAGTAATTATGAACATGTTTATCTGGCATATGCACCCAGATGGCAATATTTATAAATAAAACCTGTGGGGAAAATAAGGTTTGCGGAAACTATTAAAGGTTGTCAAGACAGTCTGATTTACCATCTTTAGTCTTCAGGATTTTTCCTCTGCTTCTCATTTGTTTTGCTGCTTCCTCAGAAAGATTTCCATGAACGACAGAGATGCTCACCCCAGCCTTTTCAAAAACACGTCCATCTTGAAGTACACAGCTAATGCCACCACCTCCTATGTATAAAAATGTAAAACAAAGAGAGCATGTAAGAGTATGTGCAAAACTGAAACAACCCTTACATGAAGGTGATTATTTCCCTCCTCTATTTCCCAAGTCTTCTATAATGTCAATAAATTTATAATTTTTGTGTACAAAAATATTAGATAACTAACTTAGCTATATGACATAAGCTTCTGATGCTGGGCGCACAGTACAACTTCTCATGTCACCAACCTGAATATTTCTTCTGAATTCTTATGCCATCTTTTAAATAAATCACTGGAAAAGTCTCCCTTCAATACTACTGTTCAGAAAGGCATCCGCCAGTTATGATTTATAAGAGAAAGTTAAGTTTGAAAACAAGAATGGGCATTTTTGAAAGGTGCTCTATTACTGTCAAACTTAAAAGATTTCAAAAGTCCAATGTGGTGCTCATGCCTATAATCCCAGCACTTTGGGAGACGGAGGCAAGAGGACTGCCTGAGCCCGGGGGTTCGAGACCAGTCCAGGCAACTTGGTGAGACCTTGTATCTACAGTAAATCAAGAAAAATTAGGTGTGGTCACACATGCCTACAGTTCCAGCTACTTGGAAGGCTGAGGTGAAAGAATCACCTGAGATCAGCAAGTCAAGGCCGAAATGACCATGAACATGCCACTGCACTCTGGCCTAGATGACAGATTGAGACTCTGACTCAAAAAAAAAAAAGGTTTTCAAAAGAATGTTTTTTTCGTATGTTGCTTGCCTTTTAATTTACAGGCAATTTTTTTAAATGTAGCTATTTGAACTCTTAAGAGATTCAGAACCTTAAACTGGGTGAGAGACACATCAATACTTAGGTATAAGAGCCCTCCTGTTCTTCTTTTTTTTTTTTAAAGACACTAGAGTTATTACAAGGGCATTATTTCATGGGCTAGTTTTATTTCTAAAAACCTTTAGAGCTGGATGGGACATAACATGATTCAATATAACCCTTGCATATTCCAATAAGAAAATTGAGGTCCAGAGAGGCAAAACACCTTATCCAAGATCACACAGCTGGCAAGTGGCTGAAATAATCTGTCCAACTGCTGTCTGTTTCAGACAATCTTCTAAGCAATTTACATATATTCATCTCATTCAATTCTCTTACTACCTTGTATAATTATTTTTCATTTCACTTCATAGATGAGGAAACAGAGGCATACCAAAATTAAGTAACTTCTGAAGGTCACACGCCTAGTCTAATACTTGAGGCTGTGTTCAGTGGTCTGCGCCTGAAAACATTACAAGACGGAACACACTATGAAAACCAGACTGAATTTCTTTGAATATAGATGTGGCAGTACCACAGCTCAAAATCTGCAGGTGAGAAGTTGCTGTTGTATTCCCAGCCAAGAAAAGTCAGGAACCCTTTAGGTTTATGAGTTTTGATACTAAAGATTTTTGGCAGTGGAAGGAAAGATGTTCCTAGAAGGAAATCTGATGGGTGCATTTGGCAGTGCCACTGCCAAATCAATCAAACATTTCTTTTGAAACAGGAAAAAGAAGTGGAGAGATTCTGAAACAATGAGATCCTCAGCTGGGGAAGCCTGGCTGACACTCAGCATGCAAGAGCTGAGTTCTTCTTTCCAAGTCCAAACGAGGACAAAAGAGCAAATGCAGCCAGGGAGGCAGATGAAATGTGTTCAATAATCTACTGAAATCTACGTTCAACGTTGGACGTTCAAGGTTGGATGCAAATATTCCTTAAGATTTCTACGAAGAATGCCACTATGGAATTTTGAAATGATCGGTCCTACAGAGACAGCAGATGGGGTCCACGCCTGCTAGCAGAGGACTGATGACCCTTTCAGTGCCAGTCTTTTTAATGGAGTCCTTTCTAACCAAGCGGCCCCTCTGTGGGTACCCCCGCTCTTTGCCCCTATCCCATATTGAGAGCCATTTTCGCCTGCAACCTAGAGCACGACCTTTCCTCCCTATCTCCACCGGTCACGAGGGGGCCGACCTCCTTACCTTCTTTCCTCTCCCACCGGTCCACAGAGAAGCTGGCGCCCCCATCTACCTGGGCCAGCGCCTGGCACACCTGGGCCTGGGTTTCCATAATCAGCAGCTCCATCTTGGTCTTCATGTCCCCTGGCCTCCTCCGCAGCTCGCGCAAGTCGGTCACCGGCGCGGCCATGAAGCAAGCGCAGCGACGGGCCAGCTCGTCCTCCTCTTCCGGCCTCCCAGGCGAAGGGCCCCGCACGCCGGAGCTCTTAGGCACCATCTCCGCCCGCTGCACGTGCCCGAAGGCGGCGGCGGCCAGCCCGGCCAACCCTGCCAGCGCCGCAGCCAGCCCGGTCCCCAGCCAGGGGCCGCCCCTCGCCACCGGACCGCGCCCCAGCCCGCGGCTCTGCTCGGCGACAGCTGTGCCAGGCGGCCGGCAGATGCGCCCGGCTGCGCAGCGCGGGGACCAGGCGCGCAGCTCTCCGCAGCCGCCCCGAGCCGCGCGCCAGCAGGGGCCTGCGCTGAGCCTGCCCAGGTGCAAAGCCATGCCCCCACACTGTCACTCTGGGCGATGCCCGCTTTCCGGAGCTCGGCCTCGGAGCCCGCTGGGAGCCCCAAGCCAGTAAGCCCCACTGGCAGAAAGAACTTTGCGAGGAGAAGCTCTCCTGCAAGCTGTGGGTTCCCGGGTCCAGGCAGCCGACGGGAGCGGGGCATGCTGGGAGTTGTAGTCCGATCCTATCTCTGCCGGCAGGAGCCCGCGGGCGGGAGGAGCATGCTGGGAGTTGTAGTTCGCTTCTATCGCCGCCTGCAGGCGCGCGCCGGGGGTATGATAAACTTACGTGCCCAGAAGGGCTGAGCCAACCGGGAGATAGGTGGATCCGGGTGGGGCGTGCGAGAAGGGTGGGGAAGGGAGAGATATCAGGGTCTGCTCTTGGCTTGAGAGGCTGAGCACTGGCCGGGGCAGAAATGTGGCAGAGATCCTCCATCTCACTTTTGTAGAATCTGTTTGCAGAATACAGATCCTGGCTCGGGATCTCTAGACCAGGGGTCGTCAGATTTTTAAAACAGGGGGCCAGTTCACTGTCCCTCAGACCGTTGGAGGGGCGGACTATAGTTTTTTGGTTTTTTTTTAAAAGGAATTTGCTCATAGTTTTTTTTTTTAAACTATAGTCC